AAGAATAGCTGGATCCAGAGACGGCTTCTTCAGGAGGGGTCTCACCACCGCTGTCTTAAGCGCGGTGGGAAATTACAGCAGGTTTAATTTTAAATAGTAGGGTTTTGACTAGGGAACTAACTAAGACTGGGGAATTACTTCTTGAACTTGCATTTGTTACAGCATTCAAAATACTGTATAAGAGGTATCCCAGACTTGTACATTTCTGAAGACATTGAAAAAAACAACAGTTGAGGCTGTAAATCTTGCAAGAGATGTAAACATGGAAATCTTCGGTATGTGGACTTTAGAAAAGTGTATCATAAATTGTTGGAATAATAAAAGTTTGCCAGAGTATTAGTTAATACAATAGAAAGGTGAGAAAGGTATGATTGCAGAAATATCCTATTAGTTTCCTAAGAATAGTAAGTTGCATTGTGTTAAATAGATCTTACTTCAAGGAAAGGGTGCAGGATCCATATTCAAAAACTCAAAATTAAATACACAAGGATATTTTCCCATGGTAATTAAAAAGTGTAATTTATGCGAGTTGTGGTTATGCTCCGTATTTATAGGTGGTTCATTATGGTTCTCCCCATTGCCCATTGAAAGCAGTGGAATTTAGTTCCAAATACATAAGCAAATTTCAGCTTGTGATAGAACTTAGCTTTGACTCTAAGCAGGATTGAACCTGGTTAGTATTTGAAGAGGAAATCACCAGACCAGATAATCCATGGTCTAAACTGGAAAATCTGAGATAAGTATGAATCAACCATGATGTGAGGGCATCTTTTGCTTAAATAAATTCATTTGTGAGCAAACTCCCTTTGGCCAAGGAGCTTACAATATCAGTTGCTTTGATAGATCTTCTCTGAGAACAGGCGGTGACATCTGAAGCCAGGAAATAATTGCTATTTCTTATCTGTAGTCTGACAGATTGGTTTAGAAAAAAGTTGGGTTTTTTTTCCCCCTAGAAGATTCTTGCAGATAAGGCAATAAAAATACTGGTGAGGGGGAGGTGAGACCAGATGGAGATACACACTAAGCAGCACTTTGACATGCTCAGAATAGTCTGTGCTCACACAGGCCAGGTGATCCTGCTGGTTTTGTCCCATCCTGAGAAAGGAAATGGTCTAATGAAAGGATTGTGATGCTGAACAACTACCCACCCCCACCCTCCTTTTGCTTAAAGTTGTAGCTTCCGGCAGTTAATTTTTCTGAAGGATGAAAATATTGGAATCTGGCAATTCTAGTGTAGCCCAAAAGACACAGAGAACATGTGCGATGATAGAAATGCCTTGAGTAAGGCTGGCCAGCTGGCAGAACATCTACTAGCTCTTCCCAGTTCCCACAGCCTGCCATATTCTTATTGTTTTCTTCTTATTTGGAGATGTTTATTGTCCTGAGTAGGGCCTTCTGAATTACTGCAGATGTGTTACGTTAAAACTAATTCTTCATATCTGCATGCAGTTGGATTCCTTCACATCTACACATAATCAAATTTCAGATGTAGTAAGCTTCTGAACATTCAGCTTCTGCAATCCTAAATGTAACCTTTAAAAGGCATACACATATATGTATGCTAAACTGATTCCTAGGACTGCTGCAGAAGGATACTTCCTGCACAAGATTCAGAAAACTAAGCCAGGTTGAACCTGATCATGATTTGGAGGGAAACACCAAGAGATACTCCTACTTGGAGTGATCCAAAAATCAGTGGTTCCCGTATTCTTTTTGCAGAAGCACTGATTAGTGTGAATCAGTGATGTAGTGACGTCAATGCCATGACTGTTTCCAAAGCCATTTTCCATTTGTTCTAAAATTGTTCCAATTTTTAAAAAGACAAACAGGTACAGTAATTCAAGATAGGCACTTTCAGATGGTTTCATGCTGATCGTATTCAAAATATATTGAATTAGATTATAGCATTAAACCCACCTTTGCTGATTT